GGGGGGTCCCCGCTCTCATGGCCCTCCTAACGTGGCACGACTCAGTTACAGTAGCCCTGAGAGTCTATTCAGGGGTTGGCTGGGAGGAAGGGAAGTTTCAAACAATTGAACTGGCGGGGTCCGGCCACTCTGGCGAGAGAGGGGGTCCCCGCTCTCATGGCCCTCCTAACGTGGCACGACTCAGTTACAGTAGCCCTGAGAGTCTATTCAGGGGTTGGCTGGGAGGAAGGGAAGAGTTTTGCAAAGATTTACAGTCCTAATCTACGCAACAGCGGAGCGAAGTCGCCTGGGAGAGCCAGTGCGGATCCCAGCCCCACAGCGGCAGGAAGAAAAACAAATAGAAACGCTGAAAAGCCGCTTCTAGCAAGGCCGACTTAAGATAATGCAGGAAGCAGCGGCGCTCCTAGCCTTTTCTTCCCCTCTGGCTTGCTGTCACCAGCAGGCCCGTCCAGGTAGCAGCTCTGCGCGAACCCCTCCCATCTCCCCCCTAGCCTGCCCCCCCGCCCCCCACCCGCGTCCCCGCCCCCCTCCCGCTGGCGGGCCGGGTGGCGGCGGGGCGGCGTGGGCGGGGTCCTGCGGAGGCTCCGCCTTCTGGGCGGGCTGGCGGAGCGGGCAGGGGAGCCAGTCCCACCCGCTGTTCTTCGGCGGCCACCGGTTGGCGCAGGCCGGTCGACAATTCGCTTGTGATTGGTCACCTGCGCCGTCCGTCGCATCCTTTTCTCCCACCACCCTCAAATTAATAAAACTCAACAAGAGGCTATTGTCTAGCTCTCGTTCTCCCCCAGCTACTGCTGAGAATTGAAAGATGAGACGCTTGGTTTCTCAGCCCACTAAAAGAGTCCGACGGTCGGCTCGGGTGCACCTTTATGGCACTGTCCGATCCTCTGGGAATTGGTAACATTTCTTTCCCATTAAAGCATTAGGCCAGGGGAGGGGGCGAGCATGTGAAGTGCCCATCTAGTGTTCACATTTCCTGGCTGCGAAATACTGATACTAAGAACCTAGAGGGTTGAGAATGTCCTGGAACGCTGAAAAGCTACCATTTTTCATCTGGGAAAACGAAAGCACACACACAAAAAATGGGGTAGGGGTAGCAGAACAACTTGGAATTTGGAACTAAAGGAAGAACTCATTTCGGACTCTGGCACTTACCAGCTAGTGTGCAACTTTTGTTACCTCGGTTAACTTCTTCTCTGAGCCTCAACTGTGATATCTGTAAATAACGGCTGGAAAACATGCCCTATTCACGTACTGGCACTGGTATATGAAAAGAAAATGAAGTGTGTGTGAAAACTGTAAGCCAGCAAACACCCCATGATGTATGTGTTCCTACTTGAGTGTGTGTCCCAAGGTGGAGAGTCACATGTTTAAGAATCAATCAAAATTCTCATCTGTTGTACACATTTATGTCCAAGGTGTGTACATTTTGTGACTTTATTTTTAAAAAATCAACTCTTTCCCCACTGTTTTGGGGATAGACATGAAGTTGACTCCCTGCAGTTAGAATAATAAATCACCTCTTTTCTAACCAGGGTGAGCGAGATTTCTTTTTCAAACAGTTCTATGGTGGTGCCCCCGACCTATATCTATTGTGGTGCTGGTACTGAAAGAGGAAATCACGCTGTGTATCTCCAAAGTGAACTTGAAAAAACAAATAAGAAGCAACATTTACCATGGAAACCACCATTCTCAACAGATCCATATTTCCTTGAGAATGTTACAAGAAGGAAGCAAAGCTAAATGTGAAGGCCTTGACAACTTAAGCTATTATAAGGAACTCAGTCCAGTGACAAAATGGCATCCATTCCAGTTCAAGCCATGCCTAACGGGAAACTTCACAGGGGTTATGGAGTAAGGCATGCCAGAGGAAGTCCGCCCAAAGGAAACCCTATCTCACTGTGAACAAGGTCTTAGAGTATCAGCAGTGCAGGAAAAGGAACAAGCAGGTGGCACGCTGTGACGGGTGCAGGGTGCCGCAGACTGGTGCTCACTGAAAGATTCAGAAGCAGGAGCATGGGCAAAGTGGATGCTTGCTGTGATTGGGCTTATGAGTGAAGTGATTTGGGTGATGTTTCATGACAAAGGGGAGATTTTGAGAGTTTGAAAGACAGAGAACCCCTTGTTTGTAAAGCACAGGAAGATTGTTTGGAGGGGTGGACAGCAGTGCTTCAGAGGGTGAGACCAGGTGGCAGACAAGCACCAGTCACAGTGGCAGCAGTGTCCTTGTTAAAATGAACCACGCAGTTCAAATGGAAACAGGAAAACATACGGTAAAATTACAGCAGTACTGACATGAGTAAGGGGAAGTTAGTCTCCACCACTCTGCCCTCATAATCCCTTTCTGCCCGTGCTCTTAAATATCCTCTGTCTTGGGATAATTTCCTTAACCTCATTCTTTATTATGAGAGGTCAGCCTTCCATTGCCTAGGCGTGCCACAGTTTTTACTCCTTCCCGTATTAAGAGGTGATTCAGAACATTCCCCATCTTGTGCTGTCATAGAAGATGCTGGAAAAAAATCTTAGTGGCAAAGAACTGGCGACTGTGTTTGTGGTATGCCTGTTCCCTGCCTTGAAGTTGCCCTCAAAGGGCTTTTCCCACCTGCCTTTCCTGCCTTCCTCACAGATACTGGGACCTCCATACAATGGAGACACCCTAAAACAATTCCTTTAACCCTCCTGCCTTGGCATTCTGTTCTCCAGATTTGAATCCTGACAAAGTAGAGTGAGCACTGCTCTGTACTTAATGGTGGATCAGGGTCTTTTTAACTTGTAGCAAACACTTTAAATTTTTTTAGTACCTCAGCTTTACACAGGTTTTCTAAGCATCTTAGGTGTTCCTTCTCTGTACCATGCAAGATTCCTCTTTGCTTTTTACCTCCCAAACCCTTTCGTTTGTTTAAACTGAGTTTGAATTTAAAGCTATGCTTTGCTAGCTCTACTTTAAAGGGGGGTTGGGGGGTCGAAGGGGAGGCCAACATCAACAAACATTGATTGAGCTGCTGCTATTATGGACAAGTCTGAAAAAACAAAGAGGGATGAGACTTGGCTCCTGCCTTCAAGGGTATATACATAAAACGACAACTAACAAGCATGCGCTAAGTGCTAAATGAATGGGATTGACAGTAAAAGCTGTAGAAGTTGAGAGCAGGGAGCAAAAACTAGTTCCAGAGAGTGAGTTTATACAGCAAAGTATGCCACACACATTTAACTAATCCCCACAGCATCCCGGTGTCTTCATATCCTGACTGTAAAATATGGAGAAGCCTCTGGGGGGGGATACCAGGAGAATTAACCACTAGCCATAAAACACCTGTGTAAAGACACGGGCTTGCTCCACTGGGTTACTCGTTAAATGCCTGCGTATACCGATAATGCAGGTAGTGATCATTTTAAGCTTACAAGAGTCTCCGTTCCAAACTACCTATCCGGTTTGGCCTTTTTTATTTCTTCCATGAAGTGCAACTGTTCCTTTAACATGCAATCAAGGTCAATGAATGTGTGCCCTGAAGACATTATGCTAAGCAAAGCAAGCCCGGGAGATACTGTATGACTTTATTTGATATGAAGTAGCTAAGGTAGGAAAATTCATAGAGGTCATGGTTGTTTAATGAGCACAGTTTCTGTCTGGAATGATGAGAAAGTTCTAGAAATAGTAGTGATGGTTTTATATTCGAATATATTTAGTGTCCGTGAATTGTACACTGAAAACTTTTAAAATAATAAAGGTCATGTACATTTACCACAATAAAACATTAAAGGTAACACCCCTCAGGCTCAGTGTCAAACCATACCAAAGATGGAAGCTGCCAGGTTATATCCCACGTAGCAGATCCTGGTATTTAATTTGGAACACTAATTTGTGTTTTAATTTTTTTGAAAGTCTGCCTTTTGTCTGCAACATTTTTACCCAATGTACAAGAAAAATAGGAAGGAAAACTTGGCTTGTAGTCTATTCCTGTTAAAGGAAAGCCCCCAAAACCATACTTTGCACTGGTTGACATTCTCTTCACCAGCCAAGTCACCCGGGACTGTATGAAATGAGCAGAGCATTCTTCCTCTAATTGCCAGGTGAACAGCTAAATCATTTAAATGCATTTACAAACAAAAGCAGAAGCAAGTGCATACACCAGGGAAAATAAATCTTAAGGATTTATAGCTCCACGTAACTCTCACCTCCTCCCCCAGCCCCCAAAACCCTGAAATATATCAAACACGGAAAAGCAGTGTTCTCCAAAATACCTCCTTATGTCAGCTTCCTATTTATTCATGAAGATACTAGCTCTACACTTGAAGAAGCCAAGTGATTAGAAAGGAGCAGCTTTAAGCGCTGAGGACAGGAACAAAGGGATGCAAACAAATGCAATACTAGTATTGAGGTTGATGCTCCTCGTTTTTGGATGCCCCTCCACTCCCCTTCCCACCCCTCCCCAGCATATGACACACATACACACACAAGCACAGAGATGCACATGTGCACACACACGGTCCAGACACAGGAAGTTTGAAGCTTGATCCATGTGTGGAAAACAGCAACGTGGGAATTCAGGAAACAACACCAGAACTGTGCTCCAAGGCCAAGACCTGCTCCAGCATTTGGGAGCCAAGTCACTCCTGGGGTACTTGTGGGCCCCAGCATTTTGGAAGTAAATCTGGTCTAGAAAAATAAAGCTGCCTGCAAAGCTATTCCCCAAGCACCTCCTAGGGTCCTGTTTGAGTAACCTGGGTTCGACTCTATGATTTATGCAGGACTT